AGGACGCATCACAATATACTTCGAACTTCCTTGTTGGGTCAGGAATAGTAAGTATCGGAGCACTTGTCAATCTATTCTTCAGCTCCAGGAAACATTCTTCACAATCTTCAGTCCATCAAAAGGTACATCCTTTCGAGTTAGACGAGTAAGAGGCTGCACTAGACGTGAGAAATTCTGGATAAATCTTCGGTAATAACCTGCTAGACCCAAGAAACTACGTACTTCAGTGACGGTTCTGGGTCGATCCCAATTCATGACAGCTTCCACTTTGCTGGGGTCAACCGCAATACCTTCTGCTGAAATCACGTGTCCCAAGAACTGAACTTCACCGAGCCAGAATTCACACTTTGACCATTTTGCATACAGTTGCTTCTCTTTCAGAATTTGCAAAACTATCCTTAGATGTTCTGCATGTAGCTCTTCATTCGGAGAGTAAATCAGAATGTCATCAATGAATACGATAACAAACTGATCCAGAAATGGACGGAAGATGCGGTTCATGTAATCCATGAATACCGCCGGAGCATTTGTCAATCCAAACAGAATTACTTGATACTCGTAATGACCATAACGAGTACGGAAAGCTATTTTCGGAATATCCTCCGGTCTGACCCAGATTTGGTGATATCCCGATCTCAGATCTATCTTAGAAAAGACTCTGGCACCTCTTAGCTGGTCCATCAAATCATCAATCCTTGGAAGTGGATACTTATTCTTCACAGTCACTTTATTCAGCTGACGATAATCTACACACAGACGCAGACTACCATCTTTCTTCTTAATCAAGATTGCTGGAGCACCCCATGGTGAGGTACTAGGTCGAATGAACTCCTTTGCCAGCAGCTCTTCTATCTGCTTCTTCAATTCTCTGAGTTCCAAAGGTGCCATACGATACGGAGCAATGGATATAGGTCCAACTCCGGGAATAAGTTCAATGGGGAATTCAATTTCCCGATGAGGGGGTAATCGAGGAATTTCATCTGGAAACACCTCCTTGAATTCATTGACAACAGGTACATCCTGAATTGATTTGCCAACTGAAGTCTCGGACTCAATTAACAACAAATATCCGGCAGCTCCCCGAAGGAGCTCCTTCCTAACCTGTAATAATGAAATAGTAGAGAACGAAGAAGAATTACCATCTCTCGGAGGAACAATGACCTTCCCTGCCTGACAATCTAGCGTCATTCCATTCTCCGACAACCAGTCCATTCCGATAATCACCTCAAAGTTGAATACCGGTAGGACCACCAAGCTCACGGTGTACGTGTTTCCTTCAAATTGTAGAATAACACCTCGGGAGATCTCTGAGGCTGTACAAGACCCTCCAGTAGGAGTACTGATGTTCAACTCGTAGGGCAAAGGAGCCGGGGTAATGCCTATTCTTAGAGCGGTGTGCTTTGCAATAAAAGAGCCCGATGCTCCCGAATCAAAAATAACAGACATAGGATAACTATTTAAAATCACGTTACCTTTGATCAGGTTCGGATATTTCTGAGCTTCATTGGCGTCAAGGGTGAATACCTGAGCTTGAGTAGGGTTCTTGCTAGGATTCTGCAGGCAATAGGAAACAAAATGTCCTGACTGTCCACAAGCATAGCACAAGTTATTTGCTCGACGACACACTCCAGTGTGGTTCTTCCCGCAAGAAGGGCAAGCATAATTCTGTCTTCTAGTAGATGTCTGACCAGGAGCATTGATCTTCTTGAAATTTCCGGCTCGAGCTTGTATCTGAGGATTCTTGCCTCTTCCCATTCCGGTAATCTTCTTGAAAAATCGGCCAACTTTGCTTCCTCCCTGAGACTGGGTTGGTTGCTTATTCAAGTTCTTGGCCTCATTGATGATTGCTTCCACCTGCCTACTCTGGTTAATCACTTCAGGCAATGTCCGATTTGCAGTGGTCAACATGAGCTTACGGATCTCTGGGTGTAACCCGCTCTCATATTTCTCCACCTGCCATGGTTCATCATAAATGTTGCGGTCGAAGCTAGCATACTCCATCAGTTGCCCGAACTTAGAGATATATTCATTAACCGTCATGTTGTCCTGACGCAGTGCCAACATCTCGGAGTGTTTCATCCTTCTCATGGCCTGAGGAAAATACTTATCCAGGAAAACCCGCCTGAACACGGCCCATGTCAATTCAACATTCTGAGCTCGCAGCAGAGCTCTTGCACTAGTCCACCAAGTAAGTGCTTCTCCAATCAGCTGATACGATGCATAGTCGGTTTTCTGAGCCTCGGGGCATCTCATGCGCTCGAATACATGCTCAATCATCTGCAGCCACCGAGCTGCAGTCTCTGGATCATCTCCACCTTCGAAAGTAGGCGGCTGGAAATTACGGAAATCCTTCAATCTCCGTCTGGCAATTTCTTCTGCATTGTCGAATGGCGGGGGTTGATTCTGATTTTGTTGTTGATAGTTTCGCCATTCCTGGCTCATGTTCTGAACGAATGTCGCTAGTCCTCCGACGGTGGTGATAAGGTATGCTTCTGCATTGCTTGGTCTTCCCCGAGTGGAACCGCGATTACCTGCCATGATTCTGCACTCACAATATCACGAAATGAGCTGATCAAACTCACTGCAGGTTATTTATGACAGCAATCTCACGTAGGTAATCGAGTTCAATTCGGGTAAGTAAACTATGCTTCCGTCACTTATCCCAAAAATAATCTTATCGATCTAACTATTTCAGCTAATATATTCCTAACGAGTTAATTAATTAGTCACACAGCAAACCACAATTTATCACAATCAATCACAATCAGCAAGCAAGCAGTAACAATCCCTCCAAAAACAAATATCCATGGACCAAAACTGCTCTGATACCAATTAGTGTAACGCCCCTCTTGTATGCATCCAAGAGATGCATTATTGCTAACTTGTATTAGAGACGCAGCGGAAAAAAATTGGTTTAACGTTTGCAAAAGCTAAACACAATGAATCTTTACTAAACTACTCAAGATTATAAAACCTTGTACTTAAAATTGTTTATTCATGAAAACAGCGAAAGTTTCAAAATAAGCGCTTGCTGAATTTTTTTTTCTTTTTACCAGAAAAACGTACTGTTCTCTAAAATTCATATAAGATCAATCTGATGTCAGGTAAAAATAATTCTTTGCTACGGTGAAACTAGATACACAGGGCTTCGCATCCATATAAAATATATGCGATTCCGAGATGAATAGCCCCTCGAACTCGAACTCGCAAGTTGCTCGCGAATTCTGCGAATTTTCTTAAAAACCTGCTGTCTTGCGTTATTTTTCAAAATTCGTACAGTTACCATAAAATTTTGATTTCTGCAGATTCTTACAGATACTTTCAAGGGCTTCACGCGCATATAAATTATGCCGCATTCGGAGGTTCGTAGCCCCAGGACGACAACTTTTATGTTTCTCGCAAAGTAACAATTTTCAGAAAAATCCATACTTCCAAAAAAACATAGTCATTAATCCAAAACAGCAATTAACCAAAAGTTCAAGATCAGTAACTGGACCAGAAATTTTCCAAACAAAATAAAAAACTTTTGTAAAATCCAAAATAACAGAATAATGAAACTTCAAGTTATCCTTCTTGCAAACACAGTCACCCAACTCATCAAACAGCCATGAATCCAGCTACGGGTACACAAAACAGCCAAGCATCGCATAACAAAACATCAAATACTTTTGCGTCCTCCTGTCATTGTACATCAGAAAACAGCAGCCCCAAAGGGGTGAGAAACATTTCCCAGTAGTGTGAGACAATACCAAAATGCAAGAAGCATAAGCTAGAACCCGAAATAGTTGAAATAACAAGATTTATCATATATATATACATGATGCCATATGCTAAACAAGATGCGTAAAACGCCAAGAGTACGTTATAGCACTAATGTGCCCGTACTATCAAGCACAGTGGATTACCCTTGATGGCTTCTCAAGAAGGGATCCAACCGTGGCCTAAGCGGACTGAAGCCAACTGTCCCAAGACCTTGGTACCGTAGGTAATGCCTATATGGTGCATGCTCATCCATATGCTTAGTTTTTACAAATGATTTTTTTGTCGCAATATGAAATTGATGCTCGAATGCTATGCTTTGTGACGCACGCAGCATACAAAATAAAATGTCATGATGAACATGTATGTCAAGATCATATAATTTGTATCATAACAAGACTTTGCAGCATATATATATGTAGCAAGATTAACAAGATGTCAAAACGAGCAACATTAATACGTATAGATATATCAAGACATGGAGCCACGATCTCATCTCGTGCTCCTTCTAGCAAGTAGGAACAGTAGTGCCTTCACACAATTACCTTAAACGTCACTATACCGATTCCAAACAGCAGCGAAAATGTCCAATTCACGAATTAACGGCACCTAATTTCAAACAGAAAAATCAGCATAGTGTTCAAGCTTTTCTAAACATTAAACCAAAGCTTCCCAAGCCTAAAATATCCCTACAACCCGCGGCCAAGAAGGGTCCTACCCTAAGGATTGTGTGACTTCCAAATGAGATTTTTAACAACAAAAACAGAGGGAATCCTAAGAGTTCTCATCAGGCAGATTCGGAGAAGACATAACCGTACTGTTTTAAATTTAATTAATTTAAGCCAGTAGCACTTTATTCACAACCAGTAAAAGTATTTTTAAATTTTAACAAGATACATTTTCTTCAAATCATCAGGGGTTCGGTTTTTACAGCAAGGAGCAGGTCAAAACAGAATAGAAAGTTAGAAGGTTCAGCCCTTGTTTTACCTTCAAGACCGAGCAGAAAGGAAGAAAGAGATGGATTCAGATTTCTGCTTGTGATTACATTAAGCCTCTCACATGTCTGACCACTAGACAGCCACCAACGCCTCAGCTTCTTGAGAAGGAAGGCACGGCTGAACAGAGGGAAAAGGTATATAGACGTTGAATCTTCGTTTCTGCTTCAAAAGAGGTTACACGATTTCTGCAACAGAAACCCAAGAAGAGGTGAAATCGTTCTTCCATTTGAACTCCAATGATGTTGCGGTTTAGGGAAAATACAAGAAAACAGAATCAGAAGATAATTTTACAAGTTTGCTTGGTTGAGGAGAGGGAAAGAGGAAGGTTGGCTGTGAGTTTATCCACACAACCAAAGATCAAAATTTATGCCCATCCCTCTGCTGATGAACGCGTGAGGGAAGAAGGAAGGGAGATAAAAATTTTATCCAATGAGAAAGCATGCATCCTGCTCTCTGCCAACCGATTGGCTGCTCCTAGAGGTGGGCCGATTTTAGGGTTTACAAAAGGGGTTAGGCAAGGTTTGGCTGAAACCCTATTTCTGATCTTTCTCCACTGCACAAGGCAGAGACGTGACTCACTAGGTGATAAGGTTGCTCTGGCCAAGAGAATTTCCATCCAATCACATTGAGAGGAGAGGGATTTCACGCTGATTAGGTAGGAGTGGAAGGCTGGATCAGATTGGGAAGTGAATTGGGTTGGGTTGCTGCTCCAAGGGCTCTTGGGTCGCAGGTCAAAACAATTGCTGTGGCCCAACATACTAACTTATGAAATCAATTGAGATTAGCCCATCAGCAATAAGCCCCAATGTTTTTAAATTAGGCTGACTAATACTCATCATCCTATGGGCCAGCGACCTTCTCACCCAAACAAGGCCCAACATGCTAATTCCTCTTATATTATAATTCAGCCCATCACTAATTAAATTCATTTAATTAATTAATTGCCTCTTACTTTATTTTTAATAACTTATGGTTGTAATTCTAAATTAGCTTTCTCATGCCTAACATAATTTCTGCGACTAATTAATTTATTTCAAGAAACTTCCTAACTCAAATTAATTTTCTCCTAATAATTATATACTCGAATCAAAGCACAAAGCACATACAAGAACATAATACCCAAAATTCTCATAGCAACATAATATATTTCCTATTTACGTGGGATGTTACAGAAGTTTTCCCGGAAAGTGTGCGAGTGAGGACAAAGCACACTGAAAGGTCTCGTGTTAGTGTGTGGGGACAGTCATTGATTCTTGCAAGTGGCGCGTTACAAGTGGTATCAGAGCAGTTTTGATTCAAGGTGGTATTTGATGAAATATTTGTTGTTGTTATATGGTTGCTGAATTGTTGTTGCCTGGTTATATTGATTATTTGTATATGTTCGTTGTATTGTTGCTGTTTGAACTTAGCTGTGAATGGGTTACTAGTTGAAATTGCCTTATATTTGGAGGTGTGATGATACTGGTAGTACCCGGTATTAAGCATGGTTATGCCCATTCCCTTACTAGGTGGTGAGCCTGATCAACTCACTGTCGCGCAAGATGTGTGTGCACAATCATGGTTGTCACGGGGTATACTTGTGCCTAAGCACTAGGTGTGAAATAGTGAATTGCTACTTGAATTAATGGTCATTTATAAATTCTGTTTATTATGGATTATAAGGAAGGTTTTATATATCTATACTTGATGTGATTATTTTTGTGATATTCTAAGATGTGGATGATAATAAGTCATCTTTAAATAATGATTGTTGTCATATGTACTTGTTTTCCTGATTTATGACTTTTCTTGTGTGTTGTAATGGTATTACCTCGCTGGATAATAGAAACAATTATTCTTTTCACTAATTCTGTCAGATTCCATAACTGAGTAGTGTAGCTGTGATATAACTGTGATAATTGATGTTGGTAGCCAGCATTAAGAAGACTTATTGTTTAACCCTAAAACTGTGCGTAGACAAATTGATGTGAGGATTGGTCACTTACCTAAGTAGATCCGGTTAATGCTTTTGGAACATAGAATTAGTATAAATTAAAGTTTTAACATGTGGGATCCATGTCCTTTACAAATCTTCTAATGGTGAATTGGCACTAGACATCATTCTTGAGTAGGAAGCTGTAAAACAAAGTGGTGATGTGTGGAGGAGGATACTTGACTCCTACCTCCATGCCTTTTTATGTGAGTGATACTTGTTGCTTTAATTCATGCGCATTGGATTACTTTGTATGATTTTGACCACTAATGGACTTGCATATAAATTATTGTCTCTGATTGTAGTGACGGATTTCAGGTGGTGATTGCTTGAATTTATCAGTTTAGATTTTAACATTTTGTTGGAACTGAATGCATAAAGTAAAGAAGGGTTATCTGAATTGAATTTAGAATATAGTGGACCGAACAGATAGATTGAGACTACACGGAATTGCACACTATTTGGCTTGTCTTATTATGTTGACTAATTGATACCTTGCTAAAATTAATATTCGAGTGAGCGTCAGAAGGTTCTAACTGGTTACTAAGAATTTTGTATAATCGTGTATTATTTAGACTGCACAAGATTATTTTAATTTGGTGAGTGGTAACAACCTTGAAGCTATCTTTGTATTAATTCGAATTCTTCATGAATTGAACATACATGACTTCTTAATTAATGGCGCACATCAGTTAGATATCATGTTAGCTTATGAATTGTCTTCATATAACAAAACATTATACTCATGATGTATTGTGTCATACATAATTCACGGTCAGGAGAGAGAGTTTAATTGCAATTACTCCACG